GAGTAAGCTGAACACCAGTGCCCCACCCCTGGGTGCCCGGAGTCCAGCTGGTCCTAGGTGGGATGCAGGCAGAGGAGAGGGCGGGGCTGAGGAAGGAGGAAGCTGCCCACACCCTTGGGCCACCTCACCTGCTGCCTGTGTGGTGGTATCACACTGTGAAGGGTGACGAGTGGGTGGGGTGAGAGGGCTGTGGCTCCCCTCCCTGCCCCATGTTCTGAGGAGCTGGGCAGGGGTGGGGTGGGTGGGTGTCTTCGTCCTCCCCCCCAGCTGCCATAGCAACATACCACCCCACCCCATGGATGGCTGTTAAGAACAGAAGGTTCTGGATGCTGGAGTCTGGACTCAAGGTGCCTGCCCTGTTGGTTTCTTCCAGGGACTCAAGAGAGCAACTGTGCCCGTGTGTCTGCTAGTTCCTGGAGGCTGCGGCAGGCAGGCGTTGGCATTCCTGCGCTGGTGAGACTCGCCTTCCTCTGCCATCACCTGGCCACTGCCTTCCACTGTCTGTCCTTCTCTTTCACAAGGTGCCACTAGGAAGGCTTAGGGTTAGGACCCTGAACTCTGAGAGCACCCCAGTTACCATCTTCAAAGATCCTCTTTCCGAACAGGCCACAGGGGTGAGGAGTCCCACAGATGTTCTGGGGACACGATTCAACCCAGGGAAGGTGGATCTCTGAGGCCTGCACCCCACGGGAGCATGGGGTGAAGAGAGAAGGGCGGTGAAGAGAGGCGCGAAGTGAAACTGGGGACGAGGGGGGCCCAAGGCGGCCCAGCTCTGAGCGGGGAAGCTGCCCGCAGCAGCAGGCAAGGAGCCTGGAGTGGGGGATGGAGGAGGTGGTTGTAAACACCAGGGATGGCCGCGCGGCCTCGGCCTCGTGTGGAAATGAGCACTGTGGTTGTTAGGGGCACGTTTGGACATCTTGTGCTATCAGAGATCCCCCCCGCCCCCCCTGGATGGCTTTAGCAGACTGATTTATTCTCTCCCAATTTTGGAGGCGGGATGTGCATGTTGAGGCTGCCAGTTGGGGTGGGGGCACCTCATGCAGAGCTTTGAAACATTGTCAGATTCTGAAGGGGTTGTCTCTGGGAGTCTTGTGTGTCTGGGCTACAAATAGATTTCGGGGTGCATGGCTGCGGGACTCTCCAGCCTGCTGCCTGACCTACCAAGTTAGGCTTCCTCAGGGCCCATCGTCAAGGAACCAACTCCTTACACAAATCTTTCTCTGTCGGTGTCTTCCTGGCTCAACTTCTCCTGAGAACCCTGACCTTCGGGTCTGAGCCTCAGGCTGTCTTGTCACCCCGTGTGAAGCCGCCACCCCCTGCCGCTTTATTTCTGCGGTAGTTACATCATCTCCTGTCAACTTGAGGCTATTAAGAGGGAAGGGGTGGAGTCTAGCCTGTCAATCAGGTCACAGCCTGATGACCTCATTTGGGGGCACGATGGAGATAAACAGCTCACTGGAGGCCAGACTCTCTCTCTCTCTCTCTGCCTTCCCTCTCCTGCTGGTTGAGACACCCAGAGAGCTGGAGGGGCGACGTGGAGACACGTGACAGCTTTGAGACGCGTCCACTGCCACTGGATCCACATGACTTTCCACCCACTGCCTGTGATCTTCCTGCACTCAGCATCATTGCATGTGCTGCGTGAGTCTAAAGAGGAATTTATAGACTCTTGTTTGACAGATGGGCTAATGTCGGACTTATGGACTTGATCTGGCTGGCATGTTTTCTCAATATGCAATTGTTCTTTGATCTAAAACTCTCTCTCTCTCTTTTTTATAAACCTCTCTCTTACACACATATGAGTGTCCTTGGATTTTTTTCTCTAGTCTACCCAGACTGGCAACAACTTCCAAGGCAGAAAGGTGGGAGTCCGTTTGTCTAGCGCCCACTGCCCACTTGGTTCAGGGTGGCCGGTACACTCAGGGACGAGACATCTGGTGGAAAGGGCAGGGTGGTCCGGGACTGGCTGGGGAGGGGTCAGTGGAGAAGGCAGCCGGAGGACGCCTCCCTGTGAACCCTGGCCTTCAGCTTCTTCAGGCCACCGTGCTCCGGGTCCACAAGCAGGCCGCTCTCAGCCGCTGCCCAGGCCTCTGGGTGGCGCTGGGCCTCCAGGCAGCGCTGGCCGTGGAGCAGAAATACTCGGGCGGTGGGGGCTCTGCCCGGCCGCTCCAGCAGGCTGCTCAGAGCCAGGGAGGGCGCCAGCTGGAGCGCCCGGGCGAAGGCCCCTGCAGCCCCCACCTCGTCCCCCAGGCTCAGCAGCAGACGGCCCCGGGTGCAGAAGTCCTCCGTCTGCGTCGCAACGTCCTCAGGCTCTACTCCCGTCTGCAGCACGTGGTCCAGGTCTCCGAGAGCGCGGCCAAACTCCCCCAGCTCCGCGAGGCAGGCTGCTCGGGCGCGCCGGTTGTGCGCGCTGTCTCCATCCGCAAGGACGGCCAGCGAGCAGAAGCCCAGCGCCTGACCCGGGAGTCCTGCGTTCATGAAGGTGCGCGCTTCTTGGGCGGCGGCCTGGATAGGAAGGGAAGCCCGCCTAAGTGCCGCAGCCCCCAAAGGCCTGAGCCCCGCCATTTCAGTCGCTTATATGCAAAGAGGCTGCCAGCTTTCTCTGGAGGGGTTGGGGATGGTACGCGCAGAGACCCGCGCCCCCCTCGCCCCACCTTCCTGCAACCCTAGACCCCTGCAAGACCTCCAGGCTGCAAGGCCCTTTCCACGACCCACACCCTCCCTCTCCCTCAGCCCTGGTTCTGCCCCCTCCATTCTAGCCCTGCCTCCTCCTCTTCAGTCAGTTATGAATGTAATCACCCCACAGACCAATCCGCTTGCCTCGTGGGGCTCCTCCTGGCCTCAAGAACCCGCAGTGGCTCCCACTGCCTGAAGAACGAGGCCTGCCTCTCTCCTGCCTCACTTCTCTTTCCTGTTGCAGCCAAGGGCCACCCAGTGCTCCCAGCCTCACACCATACAGCCCCTCCCTCCAAAAGGGCTAGACAAACAGCAAACACTCATTGGCCCTGGGCTGATTCTCACCCTCAACCCTCCAACCCCACTGAGGTCCTGGGTGGGAGCAGGGGAAAGCACTGAGTCTGAGTTCCACCCCCTCCCCTCCGGCCCCAGCGGTGTGACCCAGACTTAGGGACTGAACCTCCCGGGCTTGAGCTGCCTTGCTTGTGATTGGGGCTTGTGACTGCCAGGATTGTCACAAGGGTGGTGCTAGGGGCCATTCCCACAGGGCCAGGGACCGCACTGGCCTCCCTGCCTCCACCTGGTGGTCCCCTTGTGCTCCTCAGCAGGGCAGGGCGGCATGATCGCCATTGTCCCTTGTTCCAGAGAGGACACCTTCCACTCTACCCCTCCCCTCTCACATTGACTCTTCAGTCAAATCGACTAACATCAGGGCTTGACGGGACCTCATGGCCCCACCCCTCCATTTCTTGCACGCCCAGCTGTCTGGCTGGATCCCTGGTTCTTGACCGTCCCAGCTTTTCCCTACCTCAAATCCTCTGCCGTCCCCTGGCCTGCTCTCTGGCCACCTCCCGGACACCTGGTTGCTCCCCAGTGAGCTTTCACTCCTGGCTGCCCTGTGTTAGGGTCACCGATCCCGCTTTGAAGTGACCATCCTCCCTCATGGCCTGTCTCACCTCCTGTGTCGCTCCTCCTGCCCAGTTGCCCACACCTGACCGGAGGTGCCTGGTCACTTCATGTCAAGTAAAGATCAGATGAAAAGTGAGCTCGT